ATCAAGTATTTACTTGCACGATTTGCCCCGCAATACCCCTTCTGCTTGCATGTCCATTAAGCAAAAGCAGGATTGCATAAAAAATAAGCAGCAGAAAACAATTCAGAGCTATAAGAACCAAACAAACAAAAAATTTGCGCGAAAAAGCTATTTAATAGCTAACTGACTTAACGAAGTTCAGACAAAAAAATAAAATAAATAACAGCAAAGAGTTTGCATTTTTACATACATATGTTATTACATATATTTATTACTGGTGCTAGTGCCCTACAAATTCACATATAAAAACATCAAAAAGTACATATTAGCAAGCAATTTCTTACCACCCATCAAAGTACTACTTAGCGCGTATTAACATACGGGCATATATACAAACATACAAACGTTAACAGATGCTGGACTTCTTACCTGTGTGGGGACACAACTTGGCAACCATCTGGTAACACAACTTCGGTGTGGCACTATTCTTCATTCCGTTTCACATTGTCATTCGTAGAAGAAGTCCTAGCCGTTGCAACTTAAAAAAAGTGAATTTTCTTCCCAAGCGAGAGAGGAGAACCTTCGAGATTCCAACAGCGGGTAGACGAGAAGAATTGGTTTAGCTATTCAATGAGTTTGAATTGTTACTTTCAAATGTTAAGATTAAAAAAATACAAAAATAGAAATAAAGTATATGTGGTAACTCAGCTAGTCGCTACATATGAACTGGTGACCCTTACAAGTTATTGAACATTAAAATACGGTCTTGCCACTCAACTTTTGCAAGATGCAAGCCACACGATCAGACTCTGCCGATGTTAGTGCCGGCCTTCCTAGCACATCCAACGAGGCTGCAAATGATGAATTTTTCGAGGCAGTCGCCCCACCACAGCACCAAGCAGTCGCACATGTTGACAGATTCGAAAAACTGGAACTGCCACCATTCTGGAGCAAACAAGTACAACTATGGTTCGCAGCAATAGAGGCGCAGTTTCAACTACGAAGAGTAACTTCCGACTTAACGAAATACCAAGCAGTAGTTGCGCGTCTCGACCAAGAAACGCTTATCGTCGTGGAACATGTCATCCTTAATCCACCTGAAACCGATAAGTATCTCACAATTAAAGAAGTCCTGGTAAACCACTTCTCAATTTCGCAGGAACGTCGTTTAAAAAAACTGCTTTCGGGTGTAGAGTTAGGCGATCGACGCCCGTCTGAGCTCCTCGCCGAAATCAAACGACTTGGTGGTAGTCAGCTCGACGCATCATTCGCTCGAACCATTTGGCTCGATCGTCTACCGCAATATGTGCAAGTAGCACTAACAACCTCCGGCGAACTAGGCAATGACAAACTCGCCTTACTAGCCAATAAGATTGTTGAGATCCAACGAGACTCTGAGAACAGATTCCTGATGCCAATCGTTAACACTTCCGACAGCTCGATGCAGAAACAGCTCGACGATTTATCCAAGCAGCTAGGAAATTTGGCCAAGAAACTAAATCAAATAATTCCCAACGACGAACCCGCAAGACGTCAGCTGCCCCGCAACACAGCGCCAACATATTCGGGCACTGAACTCTCGGCCCCATCCTCAGTCTGTTACTATCCCCGCAGATTCGGCACGCAGGCCAACAAGTGTACACGCCCGTGCACCTGGGTACAGAACCAGGGAAACAGCAGCAGCCCCCAATAGACTCGGCGACTACTGGTGGCAAGTCCGGTCCCCGTCGACTGTTCATTTATGACCGCGTCTCAGGCACGAAATACCTCGTCGCACAGGCACGGATATTTCCGTGACTCCTCCGTCACGTACTGACAAAACTTCACCTGCGCCACTTCTACTGCACGCTGCTAACGGCAGCAAGATAGAAACTTATGGTGAAAAATCCCTCACACTCAACATTGGACTGCATCGGCCAATTCATTGGATATTTTGTATAGCCAAAGTACCGTATCCAATAATTGGAGCAGACCTACTACACCAATACGGGCTAATAGTGGACCTCAGACGGGGTTCCATTACAGATCCCAGCACCGGTGCCCACAGCGTATGCTCGTACGCCACCGCCCCAATTACATCTATTACCACCGTCAGCGAAACTAGCAAATTCACCCGAATTCTGAAAGATTTTCCTGAACTGCTGGGCAACCCGTCCAATCTCACGTCAGCCAAGCATTCAGTCAGACACCATATCTCGACCACTGGACCACCATGTGTCCAACGCTTCCGTCAGTTGTGCCCCGAACGGTTGAAGGTAGCCAAACAGGAATTCCAACTAATGGTTGAACTTGGTCACGCCAGGCCGTCGAAGAGCCCTTGGGCAAGCCCGCT